ACATCGGCTTACGGACCCTGGTGAATATTACGGATGGTATCCCAGCAAGAAGCCATTGTTGGGCTTCAAGAGCAGGATGGCCCAACTGGCTTCCGCACACTAACGGCTAACATGGACCGAAGGCGAGAGGTGAAACTTTGTCCTCAGCGACGAATGGGATTTCTATCTTCCTAGAAATAATGTAGTGGACCCTGTGAAGTGTTTTGTCAAATGGAAACCTCATTTTGGAGCACAAGATTCCAACAGTCAGAAATAGCGAAAGTGTTGTCATGGATGAAATGTGTGTCCGGTCCATTCGGCGATTCCCCAGTTCTAGGTATCCAGCGAAATGTGGTTGGGCTAAGTACAAGTATAGTCTGTAGAATACAATGTCTCCCTTCGATAGTCAGACAACTTTTTCTTCTATTTGGGAAATGACCCAATGCAGGCCTACCTCCTCACTGCCGCCTTCCTAAACCCAGAAAAAGAAGCTGTATGAAGCGACCAAGTCAAGATCTGAAGTCTAATTGAGTTCTACATCCCACGGAAGAACTGGCATGTCGCTCAACCCACATTCCAGTTAAGAATCCCACCAAACAATGTGATTTAGTTCACAGTGTGTAGGGTTCGACTTAAAAGTCCTAAAATTATTTTATAATCAACTCCATGTCAATAAAAACGACGCTGACATAGAAATTCACAGCTACTCATCGAATAACTAATTTATCATGTAGATTCGAGAGCTATTTTGCCGAATTCGCTTTGGAATTGAGGAAGTTTCCAAACTTTTGACGCGCCATTTCTTATAAAAATTCGTATTTTTCAAATGCGATTTCAGTTTTCAAAAAATCATGTTGCCCATCGTAATCTACACTTGATTCTGTATATAATATGTGAATTCGGGGCAATTTCATTGTCTATTGGCTACGCTAGATCAAAAATAAAAAAGTTTCCAAACTTTTGACCGCTACTGTATATGTTCTGTCGTTATCCCTATTACCTTGTGCATTATGTGGAAATCGATCCCCCCGTAGATTTGTTGACTTCCGATGAACTTTTTCTCTTCAAAGTATTGATCATCCGACTATAGTGTACTCCGTTGTTAGGGGAGCGCTGTTACTAATTTAAAAAATTTTCCCACTTCAAAAAACACTAGTTGCTTGCTGAATGTAATTGGTGGAATTGAGATATGTACGCTGTAGGCTTTACTTTGTGCTTCGAGCGTTGTGCAGAGGCGTGGCGAAGAGGGCCCTAGTAGGGTGAAAATTGATCGAGGGAACGGCAACGGCTCGTCGAGGATTTTCGCCTGTTCAGTCACGCTCTCCCGCGCGGATATTCACTCTCGCCACCCGCGAGCCGTCTGTGCTCTCCGCGCGTACGTTCACTCTCGACACTACTCTCGCGTAGTAGAGAGCTTCGAGAAATTCCTCGGTCGTTACCATGTAGAGTGGAGATAAGGGGGCAGATTTTTATGAGACGAGAGACTAAAAGGCCAATCGGAACTCTGGTACCGATGCATCCGCCAATCAGGTTCATTTTAGCTGGATGCAGCTCTAAGGAGCGTCACCAGTCCTTTGCCCATGAAGCCCATACCACGCACGTTTGAGCAGCAAAATAAACACAAACGCTGCGGACTGTTCTTTCTTCCTTATTCAGGAGATTGCTTTCCCACTCAGCTGATCGTGCAATTCAATGACATTTGAAGTTCTTTTTAGCCCCTACATCAGAGATGAAGCCATTACACCATGGGGAATCCTCACCAAATCTAATGGCTTCTTGATTAGCTCCGCTTTTTCAAATGACACGGAGTGGGACTGAATTTATGGTTTTCCCCTTCCAAATCAGGAAGGAAATGGACTAGTACTTCGGCTAGGTTCGTCCTTAAACCCTTCTATACCTTTTCAGTTAGTGGAATAACGTGTGAGACGTAAAAAAATGCTGCAAAACTTATAGGCAAGTACGCAGACAAATGTCTCTAGGGCAAGTAAGTCGAGTGCATGGCGTATCCGGTAGGCTATCGTCGGTCACTTTGGCTCACTAGATTGGACTGCTGGGTCAAACTGGAATGACTATGGACAAGTTCAAATAGTTCGAGATGTCTTCTGGGATCGAATCAGGGCCATTTGAGCCCCGATTCAACGCTAAAAATCCCTTTCCATAAGAAGAGCTCATCTGCATGCTGACCAATCGGATCAGATTAGCTGAGTATTTTCAACAATTCCTGCATTACAATCCTAAGAGCAACAGACAGTTAGGAAGTGTAACGGAAGATAATTGTTCGTATTTGTCAGTTAATCAGCTGTTATGACGGAAGCTGTCATAGGCAATGAATGTCAGCGGTTCTGTTCGCTCAGTCGTATTGAAACAGCTGAGAACGAGAGCTGGGATTTTGGTAGACGAGCAGTCTGCAGAATGATACCATCTAATGATTAAATACGGGTTGCTAGTTGGATTGGATATTATTACTACTATTACGTCATTTTACCAACAAGCTTTTGATAAGCAAAAAATCTGGCAAAAGCAGTACATGTAAATGCAGAAAGCTCTGATAGAGCTTTCTAATCTTGTTTTTTTCCTAGAGTCTGTGTCTAGAGTTCTAGAGTCTCACAGCTCCAATCTGTGTAGATGAGTTCGACGAAATCCATTATAAATGATGCTCCTGTCGAGAGAAACCAGCAATTTCAATGTTCCCAAGTGAAGGATCAAGAATTTGACATCATTCAATCTCTTTCGTGATGCGCCATGCATTCTACTTCAATTCAGGATCAAATCGTATTTGAATGCGATTTGGCATAATGAGTAGCGGGCTGGACGATGTAAACGTCTGCGCTTCCAAGCTCCCAGACAGGCCTGGTCAATTAATCGAAAGCGGATGGATGGAAGGCTTGATAGGCCTGGACGGTGAACGACCCGGGGTTTGTCTCCTGATCGCGCGTGTTGTATGCAGTGCTAGCTACCGTATCAGCGCATCTACCTCCAACAATGCTAAATAATTGATGACATTGGGCACGATGGCTGGGGGCGGAGCGCATTCGGTGACGTCAATGAGCACGATTAGTGAAAAGGCGTTGGGAGGTGGTCCCAACCACATTCCGCGCGAGCTGAGAGTTTGCCCCGTCCATGACGTCCGATGACATTACCAA